TCATTATAAGCATAGCAAAGTTTTAATCTAATTCACGGAAATAGGTAGTAACTATAGCTCAATGTTGATGTATTAGTACAGTGTATTGGGGATAGGGAGAAAGCTCAGTCATATTTACTGCATACATGGTGCCATTTATACGAGTAACTAACAAGTTATATTGTAAGGATAGCAGAATTAAGAATCTTAAGTTCAACGCGACTCATTCGCCAATTTAGACTGCTGATGATTATAAATACAGCGATATGCTAAAATAATTCCTAAAAAGTGATTTAAAATATTAAAGTCGTTTCAAAGTCGTTAATTATCGGTTGCAATCCCTACTATCACTGTATTTATTGATTTCATCAATAAATTTATACCTAAGAGATGTCGGTGAATCAAGCAACTAAAACAGCGTTATGCACAAATGGCAGTCTATAGTTACAATATAACTCCAGTTGGCGGCAGCGGCTATTTACTTACAGTAAATCTAATCTTACTGATGGGATAATTTCAAGTAAGATAGAACATCATTTAATTAATCGTAATTTATTTTAGTTTAGCAATGATAACTTTTAGTACGAAGTTTCTTCCAAATTAAAGACAACTTTGTTATAGGTAGACTGTAAACTTCGTAAAAAGTAATTTTGAAGGATATAGCTAAAATGGTTAAGTTGCATTACTCACGGTAATTAAATAGTCAGATTATAAATCTACAAGAGCCCTAAGTTAGCTTAAGTATAGAAATAATATACTAGTTACCTCGATTATTAGTAGTCGGTGCAGGCTTAACTGAGCTATTAATTGTAGTATTTGTATACGTAGTCAAAGAGACCGACAAAGTCCTTTGGTTATCGATTTTAGGGTTGTCTAGGATGAAGTGCAAGCGCCTTTAACCAACTATAATCACTAGTTACGATGTAGTATATTAGATCGTATATATCTAGTTGTTACGATTTTGTATATCGTAAATGACTTAACCAAATCTTATAAAGATATAAATTCTCTTACTGAATCTGGAAGTTGTCAATGGAAGAGCCGTACTCGCTTTTCTTTGCAATTACACTACTATCTTAACAATTAGATTCGACTATGAAATTACTCTTTGTTGAGCATTACTTTAGGCAAAATGTCAACTAGCACACAGACTACTAAAAGGCTGAGCAATTAATCGATTGGTCATTATTATACACTTCTATTGCAACACAATGCTGCACTGGCATGTAATTGACGCCTGACAATTTAATATGCTTGTTACGCTGTGATAACATAAATTCCGTCAGAAAATTTATCTAGGAATGTATTTACATACCGTCATTTATGATGTTTTTCATGCTTTTAATAGATAACTGCATAGCTTAATAATATTATCTATAAACAGATAATTAATATTTATTTCCATTCACTATAAAATGACTGACTTTTTAACAAAGTTTGGATTCAGTTATGTCTAAGACAGACGAGTATTGTGTCACTGTCTTTCCCGACGAAAGGAGATCGTCAGTATTTAGAGTCGTACTGTAGGTTAATGTCAAGAAAACTAACTAGTCAGTAGACTTATAGTATACTTTCTATAATAGTTTAGCATTTTTCTCGTTATAAATGTCGACTTGTAACAATGCTATTATGATATTTGCTCGTAGAGGAGTAATATGGCTTAGCATAAGAATCAGTAATATGCAGCACTAGTTAAAGTAACTGTTACATCTGTAGTTGCAAAATGTGTACGATTACGGTATTCAGACGAGAGTTGAGGAGTCTATGAGTTAATGCATATTACTCGTCACAGGGCAGTTCTTAACAGTAACGACGAATTATTAAGAGACAATTATGCTTATTCAAAAGGCGTAAATTTATCTTTAATTGTTTGAGATGTAACGATGTTATATACTTAGTGAGAAGTAGCAATGATAATTAATAGACAATAAAAAGTAAAAGTATATAAGGTTCGCAAAGTATAACGAACATGAGTTGTACTATTAATGATTATCATTCAAAAAAGTTTGATTTAAGATAATTTTATGTCCATTGCGACTCTAGTAGCTAATTTTTGTAAATTATAATTACTTGTTGGAACGTATTTATTTCACGTTAAAGTATCTATATAGCTAAATATATAACACAAACATAACTTAAAGTACAGTATAATAAATTCTTTTAAGAACTAAATTTTAACGAGCTTAGCAAAGAATATAATACTCTTAAAATTGTATTGAATCCACGAGAGCATTAAAATGTTTCTATAGTTGCAATTACCCGTGCATTCTAATATACCATTGGTCTGCACAAATGTCAAACTTATAAATTGAAAATCTACCGTAATTTGTGGACTATAAATAAAGTCTTTCATTGTCTTTATAATGGATATAGTTAGATTACGATTACGACATATAATATAGGATATGATGCTAATCCTTATTTCATCTTGTCAAAACGACATATCGCTATTGTTTCTCACAAGTTTTCGTATCGATTACTATAGAAAAGTTTTTAAGTAGTTCATTATTGAAAAGTTGATCGCGTTATATTCAGTAATGTGGTATAGGATTTTGTGATGGTATATATTCTAATATTTAATATTTTTTGTATGAGCTATACTATAATGAACAAATTTTGTATCTCAAATACGTAGATAAGTAGAAAAATGTTAGCAATTGCCTATTCTAAAGAAAGATCGATAGATGGCTTTTTTGGATTAAAATTTAAAAACCGTAGCAAAACACTATCCTTTTAGAAGCTTCGACTATGAAGCATACCCTATTTACGCTAGCGACGGAAATTTATTTTATAGATTAACTTTTAGTTTTTCTTAAAGTTTACTTACTAGAAAAAGTGTTTAAGGTAGAAAAAACTGATCTATCGTTATACCATAGTTTGCTTGTTAAATTTATAGCGTTCTGTACAGAAATCGTAGGTAAATTGTGTCTACGCTTTGTACGATATTTACTTTCAGAAATGATGCACAGTAGAATTCTGGGTATAACGGTATAACCCAAAACTGAGTTCGATGTTAAGAAATGTTTAATTTTGATAGCGCTAGTTCTATTCTACTTATCTATAGTAACTAGTCCTACAATGAGACTAGACTCGATTTTTTAAGAGTTATACCTTCATATTAACAGACTAATTGAGTAATTTAATCGATTTAGAATGGGAAGAACAGCAGTTGCTGCTCCATTTCCTTACCCGGTAATGAAGCATACTCTGTTTACGCTAACGACCGAAATCTATCTTATAGATTAACTTATAGTTTTTCTTGAAGTTTAATTGCCCAAAAAAATGTTAAAAAATAAAAAATGTAATAAAAATTGATCTACTGTTATATCATAGCTCGTTTGTTAAATTTATAGCGTTCTGTACAGAAATCGTAGGTAAATTGTGTCTGAGCTTTTGTATGATGTGTACTTTCATAAATGATGCACAGTAGAATTCCCAAGTAATAACTTCTAAAATATTACTTAATTAGTATTTAACTAGATTAACAACTCATTTGAGGTACTATTAACAGTTTAGGATATCTTCCTGAAGAAGTTTTCAGTTACATAGTGTCAAGCATCGGCTATCTTGGCTTTACCATGATAGCTATGAGGTATTACGAATGATTTAAGAGCAACTAGTACGTAATCTACACGTTTCAAATGTGTTATTAGTCTACAGAGTAGTTGGTACCTTTCGTATTTTGAACTATGTTTATACTGATCTTTGGTAAATCAATAAGTCAGCAATATCAATAAATGACGTCGAAATAGGGTAGTTAAAATAGGAGTGGAGTAAAGATAATTTTCATTATGTTATCATCAAAATTTACTTTAATTAGATAGATCTTGGATAAGAAGTAAATAAGAAGTAAGTACAATGCTAAATTGGCAATAATATTACTGATTAGAAATTATAAAAGTCTGTAAAGCATACTTTCTCAAACGGTAGTATAATAAATCTAATAACGCCCTTCAACCCCAAAAGTAAATAATTAATTATAATTATTAACCTTTCTTCAATAAACAAAGATTTCTACAGTTACAATTAATATCCTGTAACTGAGATACTAAGAAATTATTTTTGCTGAAATTATCAATAGATTAATGAAATTGAGTAGAGTGATTCATGAAGTGAAAATGAAAGAATTAGTTTCAGATGTTTATTGTCATATATTCGTTGTTTTGAAAGGCGCGAAGCATAAATTTATCATCACTTTACTATTCTGTTATTTACTGAGAAAATACATGAGTTATAATTTACCTGGAGTCGTTCCTGTATCCATCTTGTCAACTTCGTCTTTCGCAGGGCTAAGTTGTTGTTGACTCGATTTGGTCTCTGGCTTAGGTTTGACGATACTTTCTAAAATTTCAAGATATAACATAAATTTATATTCGTCAAATTTATAGCTCGGTGAAAATAAGTACTTTTGCATGACGATATTTTATGATCTTTACCACTCATACTGCTACTTAAAGATCATTTAAAGCAAACGCAAGTGATTAGAATATTTCTTATACGGATACTAAGAATACACAAATCATGTTACAAATGTAATGACCCGTATTTCTTTGTTTAACAGTACCATATAGTTTCTCTAATTTTTTCTTGAATTCATCATCTGTTTGTTTTTGACGAAGAATTTTAGTGTAGACCTTAGTACTAATTAAAAAATAGAAATCTCTCTTGCCATCTGAACTTATCAAATCCTTCTTTGGATCAATATCTTTGATGATGACAGGTTTTATTGTCTTTTGATGCAAATGTGCGTAATTAAATTCCAGGTAACAATTGTATGAATTTGCGTAATCCTTGCTCAAAAACGGCATAAACATCTATGAAAGATAATATCGAGATAATTAGAGAGCAGAATCTTATAATTACTTTAAGATCATAACTCACTTCTGAATTAAAGTTCTATTTTGAAAATAAGCCACTACAACAAAATCTAAAAATGTATTATAACTACGAAATTTATAAATCAACAATTAATCTGTAAATGAAGTGAAAAGTATATCTAAAAATTTTACTATCATAATTAACTTTACAGTTACAGAATCAAAAAACAGTCTCTATACAGGAAGATATTAAAATTTCGAATCTTTCATTATGTCCTGTGTCGATTTAATTGTATCTCCTCTACATCTTATTGAGAAATATTGCCACAGTCTATTCTTGACGTAAAATTTAAGTTCTATTTATTGTATCTCATTTTCGAATTAACAATGGAAGGTACGAGTAATTCGGTTAATATGACAATATACCAGTATTTGCTTAAATTTTGCCTTGCTCAACCTGTTTTTCGTCGCAATAACGGATAAGAGGATATATTTATAAGATTAAAATGTGCCTTCATACCTCAGACGACATGATAGCTTTCGCTATTACAGGGTGAAGTTCATCTCCCACGTAGATTTTCTCTTCATCTATCCAACAGGAAATATTTTTGCTTTCCAAGAATTCTTTTACATATCGGACATCCGCTTTATCACTCCAGCTATAACTTATAAATACTCCTAATTCATAGATAGCAACCATTTTAAATATAAATCTCTTGATAAGAAGGAGCAAAGGCATTTTAATTGGAGCCTTTATCTACCGTTATATTTTAAACAACTTACGCTGATTTTTCTTTTGGCTATCAGTGGTATCCATTCCTGTTAACAGTAAACGTGTTTCATAAGAAAAATATCAAGTTAATTGTTACAAACGTTTCAGATGATATTGTACATTTTTCAGTCTAGGAACCTATCAACTATAACATTTGTTATATGCATCATGAAAAAAGATATGGCGCCTGGATTAGACTTTGACTTAGAAGCATAGTCTGCAGTTCCGTATGCAAACAGAATAGAAATCAATTATTTATTACGCACCAAAATTACTGCAATGTCTACTATAGAATAGTCTTGTAGTGAGGCTGTTAGTTCAGTTATAAAATCTAATTCTAGTCATAAAACTTCGTTCTCATACTAGATTGTGTAAGTATTAAGAGTTATTGTTTGCAATCTTTACGTTGTAAACATGTTAGGGAACGTACTTAAGTAGTTATTTTATTCTGTTATTATTATTTTAAGTCTTTGTTTCAAAAATCTGCTGTTGTAACAAATTTTTCTATGTCTGTCAGAGCCTATTGTACTATTACTTAGTATTTCGATTGTTAGAGTATCAGTAATAAAACTAAACTATCTTTTTATTCCTTGTAGTCTAAATGCAGCTAGTAGAACAGGTTTTATTACATTTGCATTTATGGAATACGAATCCAAGACGATCTTTACATTACCCATTATTGAGCCTTACTGAAGACAAAAATGAAAAATAGCATATAGATTACCAAGAAACTGAGCAATTAATCAATTGCTTTTCCTCATAAACTTGTGTTACAACGCAGTGACGCTCGTAGATGTAAATTTATGCCTTATAACTTAATATGTTATTATGAGACTTACTTTTAGAAGAATAACATAAAATGATCTAGGAAACATTTGTAAGCAACACTAATTATTAAAAACAACTAATTAATCGATTATGCTTGCTCAAAAGGTGTCAATTCAGCTTTGATTATATTATTTGTAGGTGAAATGGTATTGTGTTTGACTTATATAAAAATTTACGTACCGGGAAGATTTGATCTAATATACTAAGTGAAAAGCTGCATTGATAACAATCACTGTTACAATCACTAGCTGGAATGTATTCATCTCATGTTACAGTATCTGTACAGCTAAATATCTTGCATAAACATAACTTTAAGTAAAGTTTGACAAATCTTAATAATAATTAAATTTTAACGATCATAGAAGGATAACTAATATTCTTAAAATTGTGATGAACCCATAATAGCATTAAAATGTGTCTATAGTTGTAATTACCTGTGTCTTTTTTAATATCTTCAGAGTTTTTCGGTTTTCGACCTAAATAACAGATACAACAGGTAATTTAGTTACTACGTAGCTACTTACAAAGAGAATATTTATCAGAAAGATGGATTTATAGCGATATCAAATTGATTACAAATTTAGGATGCAATGATTAAGTAGCGGCTAAGTTTTAAATGATTATAGCAGGCAATATCAAAAATCATATTTCAATGTAATAAACATAAATCAATCACAAAAGCTCTTAGCTTGATAAATTAATTCGGTTAATGTCAAATTCAATTCAGTATTTATATACATGTAAAAATTACGTATTACCGATTACCTTAAGGGTTAAGTACTAAATTATGAATAATCTAAATAATTGTAACTCTTACACAACATGATTATCATAAATTATAGCCTTTTGTCCTAGTTAAACATGTTATAATTATAGTGGAAACTTAGTTCATTGACAACATACTAGTATAACAGCATAAAAAGTGATACTGATCTTTAATTTACCTTGTCGAAACGACACATCGCTATTTTTTTAACAAGTTTTCATATCGTCTACTACTGTAAATTGAAAATCTAATTTCATTATGTACTTGTCGTACTATTCTCTACTCTGATCGTTTTATTGTTATTTCTACTCGAAAGTGGGATAATCGTGTATCACATCCTTAAGTCTTAATCGTTAGGTCTATTTGTAAACTTTAATGCTTACCACTATTGAAGTTTTCCACTGTTATTTCACAATATGTTAAAGCATTGCAAAACTCATCAAAGGCTCTATCGCCACGCTCAGGCAGAATATTCAATAAAGTCCAAACTTTTCTGTAAAATAAAATTAAATAATTACAATAACTGCTCTCCGATTACAAAATTTATTCTTGCAGTAAATAAACAAACTATTAATTTAGCCTGCCATTGCATATTAGATATAATACTGTTTAACAGTTACTGAACATGTACTATATAAAAATTCCTTACTTAGAAGACGTCGATTCAGATTCGATTGTTTCTTGGTGGTATGATGTTAATATTCTCGCTTCGAGTAAATATTCACATATCGGTGAGATTTGATCCCGACATTTTCGAGCAAGCAACATACGACTGGCTCTTAGGATTTCACGATGTTCTTGAGTCATTAATCCTGAGGACATTTTGGGTAGCTTATCTAAAATATTAAATGAATGTTTAAGTTCGAGAAAAGCTACAGTTTTGATAGAAGCTGTATCTTTTTTTCTTTTGCGCTAATTCTAATTAAAAGCGATTGTATTTAAGATAAGCGCTTTATACTGTTGGGTTGGGTAGTAGGGGATGTGTAATTATTTTGGAATAATCTGTGTTAAAAAACTGGTATCTTATTCATTAATGATTATTTTGCTGTTACCCGCGCCAATGCTAAAATTTTTCTTACTTATTAAGAGGTAATGGTTAACAAAAATAGCGCAAAATCTATTTGACGTAAACTGATGCTTCTGATAGATGTTAGAAAGTTTTAAAATTGATAGTAACCTTCGATTACATTATTTTTCCAAGTCAATTAATTAATAAAGCTATAGCAGAGTTTTAATTTTATTAGCGGAAAAAGGGAGTAACTATAGCTCAATGTTAATAGCGCTGGTTCTAATCTACTTATCTATAGTAACTAGTCCTGCAATGAGACTAGGCTCGAATTTTTATAAGTTATACTTTCATATGAACACACTAATTGAGTAATTTAATCGCTTTACAATGCGAAGAACAGCCATTGCTGCTTCATTTCCTTACCTAACTGATCTACTGTTTGTCGTTTACGAGCGCTTGATAAATTCTTCGATTCACTATCGTCGCTTCGATACCAATTGCAGGTGCCCAGACCAAGGAACTACTTCAGAAAAGGCAGTGAACTACTTCCGAAGTAGAACTAGCTAGTATAAACTAGCAATGTAATATTAGTTACTAGTTCCTGGCAGTGAACTACTTCCGGTAGTGCTAGCCCACGATTAGCTACCTTCACCATACCAATAATATGCAGGCTGATGATTTTACTAGTTATTTCAGCTGTATGGTATGTCTGTAACGGTACACTCTACTGTATACGATTGACATGCAAATGAGCTGGCAGTGGCCGGCGTGTTTTACTACTTTTGGCGCCAACACAACATACCCATCAAGACTGTTGTTGTCAGCGTTGAGAGTAGCGTAGTCTATCATACAGCATTTAGCCAATAATGCTGTACACTAACGAGACAGTCTCTCTATAAAATAGCAATAACTCAATATTGGCGTTGCTTGTGAGTGCGCTGTCATTGCGGGCCTTGGTGGTAACATAACTAGGAAAATGTCAATTAACTTCAATATGAATTAATTTTCTAAATTAAAATAAATATAGATTTCACAAGCAAAGGCAACATAACTTGGAAAACGTCAATAAACTTCAATATGAATTAATTTTCTAAATTAAAATAATGAATGGTATTTCACAAGCAGGTTTAAGCACAAGAAACTTTCTCAGTCATCAATTTCTTCATTCTAAGCATCATAGATCGAACTTTAATCCAGTAGAAAATGTTATGACAATGCAGCATGAAGTAGTAAGCATAAAATCATTCTAAAAATGTAAGGAATGAAATGGTTTGTAAAGCCATAATTTAATTATACTAAATCAAAATATCTAGAGTAGTCCATTCATTCCACCAGTAAAATTTATGCACATAACATTGTCCGGTCGCCTTTCTAAGTCTATAATTTATCTTTCCAATTCCATTCATACAATCATCACGTAGTGATAATTTTGGCATCAGCAAAAGTAATTTTATTTTAATTCATCGTCTATTAATGTCTCTTTGCAACTTTTCAAAACTGACAGTAATACATCAAATGTCGCTTCTGAAGCAAATGTAGTATACCATGTTTCCAACAGATGAATACACTTGTCAATTCTGCCATCGCTCGTATCGGCTATGCCATCAACGTCATTAGGCTGTAATTTCAATTTTCGACCAAATTCTTTCAACTTCTTTGATTTTATTCTATCAGCTATATACATGAAGGTTTCACGCCTTCTACCCTCTATATAGAGCATCAAAGCATTGAAGTAAATCAGTTATTTAGCTGCAATTATCATGGATTCATTTTCATTGCTAAAATTTCTAGCCTAACTTATTAATATCTGTATGTGATCCGAAATACCGAACATCGTTGGCAATAGTGTAGCCTAGTTTATGTTGTCTATGTTGGTATTGAACTACGGTACTAATACTTGAATGCGACAGGTGTGGTATCTTGATCAGAATTCTTCTATGCTACTTATACTATGGCTATGAATTAATCGGGATAAAAACAACTTAATAACTTCGCTACAAATTTGATACTTAGTGAGGATGTAGTATGA